TTCTTAAATTTGACTGATTGGTTCGCGGATAATAATACTTTACGTTATTGCGATTGGAGATTAAAAAAATTGAGATGGAATAACAAATCGTTCTCATGAAAATAACTGATTTTTTCATTAAAACAAAAAAATGTTGCATTTTATTAAATGGATTGTAACAATAAGTATAATTACGGCTTTTCGTCCACTATTTTTAACTCAGTTTAAAACTTCAAAATGCGATATAATTTTGGCTTGGACCATCTAAGCTGACTGACATCAACTTGCTATAATTTCTGTTTGCATTACATCGCAATTCGACGACACTCTGGCTCAGACACCAGAATGTTTTGACCTGATCTCTTTTAAAATACTTTTAATTTGTTCTTACGTGATTTTCCAGATGTAATGATGACAACATTAAAGTTTAAAGAAGAAAATTCTAACATTTAAATCGACTAAACAATAACATAGTAAACTTGCATAATTAAACAGCAACTAAAAATGATAGGTTTTACTAAATCTTTTCCTGTGCAATTATTCCTAGCATTGGAGACAAGGATAATAGTTTGTTTGAAAGAGAAAAGAGCAGGCTTTGGAGTAAGCCTCAAAGCGTTTAACTAGAAATATATATATATATATATACATATATATATATATATATATATATATATATATATATATATATATATATATATATATATATATATATATATATATATATATATATATATATATATATATATATAAATAAATTTGCAGAATATCAGATTTTCCAAGAAGATCTTTTCTTGCAGGCTATTGAAGCAAACAAGAAATGAAACAAGATGAAAATGAATATTTATTAAATCACAGATTGTTAATTAAATATGATACAATCCATTCTTGTGTGAATATTAGAAAAACAGTTTATAGTCTGTCATCAGATTGTTGTCAAGGTTGTCAAGTTTGTAATTTTAACATCACAGACATCAATAAAAAATTTCAGAGCTGTGAAAAAAAAACCTGAGAAAGAAGCGGGTTTTTTTGGGGTTTTTTTAGTACAGGGATGGATTTACTTGAGGTTATTGGGGGGGGGGGGCGTATTTTAGGTTAAATCTGAGGCAACTAACCAACAAAAAATACAATATTGAGCCTTTATAACTATATAGGCAACTTTGTTTCGACATGTTGGCTCCTTGAGCCTGTCCGGTGCCCTTAATAATGATGCATCCTGCATCAGTTGATGGTCAAGTCCTGCTTTATGACCAGCACTTGTTCAGCAACCCCTCCTACCAAATCAAATTACATCCATCTCTAGTGTACTTTTTGGACGTACAGGAGTTTTTTAAAATTTTTATTGGGTTGTATAGAGTATGACAGCACCTAGGTTGCATATGCATAATGGCTGTAACTGATTAAATCTAAGTAAAAGGATTTATATTTAAAACTACTCGTATTCTTCCTTGAAAATGGAAAATGCTTTCATTAAAGTTTTGCATGTACCTATATTTATTATTAGCATGACAAAATTACTGGATGCTGATTGATTGAGAGGAGTACAATTATTTCATTAATTATTACCTCCGCCAGGAGGTTATGTAATCATCTGGGTTTGTATGTGTGTGTGTGTATGTGTGTGTGTGTGTGTGTGTGTGTATGTGTGTGTGTGTGTGTGTATGTGTGTGTGTTTGTCTGTGAGCACGATAACTCAAGAAATACCAAACATATCCGTACCAAATTTTTTGAATGCATTTCCCATAGGCTAAGGAAGAATTGATTAAAATTTGGTTGAATTTGGTTAAAAATTGAACGAGAAATGAACAAAATTTTGTCTTGCTTTTCCCGGTCAATTAACAAAATATATTACTGAATGCGTAATTAGGACGTGTATAATTTATGCACTCAGTGCTAAGACAGTAATGAGATGATAAACCTCATTAAGCTTCGGCCTTCATTATCTATTGTCTTAGTTGCATTTCACGCGACCGAAATTCAATGTCTAAAACAAGGCTTACGGAGTTACGCATTATTACGTTCAGCAAAGTGCCAGTCCATTCAAATTCTAACAACATTAGATTGCTTCAATACAGGGTGTATAAAAAGAACGCAACCTCGGAATTTCCCAAGAAATCGACATTGTTTTAAAGACAAAAGATTTTAGCTGCCTGGGAATTTAAAATAGCACAACTGTGAAAATTACTGCACGCGCGAGTGCATAAAGCAAAATTTATGCATTTGTTTAATGACACTTAATAAGTTTTTATTTTACAAGTACTGTACAGCACAACAACAGTAATATGTTCTATTAGCAATTCGATTTCAATTCGCGGGGGCCTGAAATCTTTTATGCTTAAGAATTATAAAGTGGATTTCTTAGGAAATTCCAAGGTTGCGTTTCACTTCCGAGTAACGGGCGGAGGTATGCAGTCTCTGAGTGCCCTCTAGTTTATCTTCTGTAATCAGTGGCAAATACTGCAATTTCATTGGTTTACAGGAGTGCGATTTGAGCATTAATCTCACCTTTTATGAGCTGTAATCGCACTCTTGTCTACAACCAATGAAAATCAGTCTAGTATTTACAACTAGCCAATCAGCATTCAGGCACAGATGAAGTATATAAAGGTGTGCAACTTAAATAGGACTTCGTGTCCTCAAATTTCCCTAGATGTACACGTCATGCTTACGCCATGACACTTGCTAGCAAAATGGCGTCTTGAAAAACATAAGCTTTTGCATTTTATTGCGGTTTGTTTCGATCGAAATTTGTGGATTAAACAATCAAGAGCAATATTTGTTGAATTTTAAAGTTGATGAAAGCAATTAAAGTTGTAGAAAAGGTGTTGAAAGCTTTTTTGAAAGCAATGGCGTATTGCAAATGACGAATTGTCACGCGAGCGACACTTGCTAGGAAGATGGCGACTGTGGGACAACCTTTTTACTGAAGTTACACATATGTTCTTACATAATCTATGATTCAGGATACAAACTTTGAATTTTATTTTCTTTATTGCTGTAAAAAAAATTCAAAATGGAGGAATACATAAATTTTGAAAATTTTGACCTTTACTTTTTAGATCAGCCCTCGAAAACCGTCAAAATTGAGGTCGGCCAAAAAATGCCGACCTAAATCTTACCTAGCTCGGCACATCTCGGCATTTTTTAAAATCAGTTTCCATCTCTTAATTGGAGCACTACTTGCCTAACTAGTAATCACGTATTTACGAATCATTGAAAAGTAATGTGACGTACACGAAGGCTTTAATTTCTTTTAGAGTCTTACCTAGATTATGTATAGAATACCCGTTAATTCTTAAACCTTACACCAAAGTGTATCGAATTCTATAATCGCTGACTTTTTAACAGCTATAAGCACCAAAAAGATTCTTACTTTGGCTGAATTAAGGTCGGCAAAAAATTGCCGACCTGGGAGGTTGATAGGTCGGCATTTAGGTCAGCATTGCCGAACGCCGATCTCGTTTTTGAGGGTTGTTAAATTATATATTTTCTGACGAAAATGACCTACCTGTTCTTCCAGCAGAAGACGCCGAAATAGACACAACCAGCGGTTATATTTGATTCAGATTATTAACTGAACTAAAGTACTCCACTATTTTGAACACGTTATAAACATACAAACATGGCTTCCCAATTGTGTAGCCTGCTCACAGACGTAGTAGTTCTTACGCCAAGCGACGAATTCGTCGCTTGGCGGAAGAACAACAACGTCTGTGAGCAGGCTACCCAATTGTGTGTTGAATAATTCAAACAATGTTTTCATGTGATTATAGCGGAAATAATGCGCGGAAGTTAATAATATCACAGGACGAAAAGCGCACCTTTAATATGCTATTAAAGTAGGATTAATGGTGTATTTTATTCGTGTTTAGTCGCACTTAATGCGTTTTATTAAAGAGATTAAAGGTGCGTTTTAACACCTTTAGTTCGTTGCATTAAGTGTATTAACGACCACATTAATACCCAGAGATTAAAGTTCAATAAAGGACACTAAGTGTGCATTTAATTCGGCCGATTAAAGGCCGATAAAATGCGGTTAAAGATGTATTTAGTCGCCTTTAATATTGGTAGAATTGTTGATTAAAGACAACTTTAATCATACAAAAATGTGTTGCTTATAGGTTATTAAAGGTAAATTTAATCAGTTGATTAAAGACCTCTTAAAGCGACATAAAGAATGAATTAATCACATTTCATACATTGATTAAACTTTGTGTAAGTGCCATTTTAGTTCTATTTAGTCGCTCTATTATATTTGCAATAAGTTGCATCGCTTGTGACGTTGGGCTTTTT